TTTTTTTTTTTTTTTCGAAATGATAGAGGTTATTATAACAAATCAAACCGTAACAAAGTTCAAGTATAACGGGCTAAAGTAGAAATCTCAGGGTTTGCTTGAGTTAATTTACTCACTTTTATCTCAACTAAAAATTTAACTCAATTTCACTATCTTTAATATTATTTATATAATTAAATAGTACGAACTAATCATTCTTACACATTATATCAACTTTAATTCACTATCCATTCACTCACATAATTTTAACTACCTATCATTTTCAATTATTTCTAATCATTTTTTCTTCTACTTTTACATCAAATCAATTTTATTATTTTATTTTAAATATTATTTTAATACATTCTTAAATTTTCACTAACAATTAACTATACCACATTTTTCAAAATTAATTATGGTTAACCAAATAACTCATAAACAAAGTATTTCGTCTGCACCAACAACACACAAAGAAAGACTTCAAGAAAAAAACAAAACCACTGCCACAACCGTCTAGCTAGGATCTCCACCTGGAAACTAGGGGTGGTATCGGTTCGGTTACCGAACCGATAAGCGTATACCGATACCGTACCGATAATGTCTGTAACCTCGGAATGCAAAACCGATACCGAACCGATTAAAGTCGGTTACCTAAAATTCGGTAACCGAAAACTCAGTTCGGTTTCAGTTCGGTATCGGTTTCATACTGAAAAACCGAACCGATTTTGAGCACAAAAAAAAAATCTAGTGTCTACTTTTCTCGTTATTTTTATATTTTTTTCACTTCTTATCAATTAAATACACACAAAAGACTCACAAATTCATTGAAAGATTAAAAAGCTTTAATTTAATATATAGAAGTTAGTTTGAATATAATTAGATTATGGTTTTTGTGGTAAACCCAACTAATAAAACAATATATTGCTAACATGCAAGAAATAAAATTTGTGATGCAACTTCAACTAACTTATCTAGTGACGGTGGTACGATGTAACACCCCGCCTAAAACTTACTAAAATCAGAGTAAATTTTTCGCGCTATAATTGGAAAGCACTACTTTAATTTTCGAAAACTCATATTAATTTTTCGAAAATACTTTAACTTTAAAACACGGGGTGCTACTCAACTTTAATCTTATATCTTTATCTCTTTAATCTATCATGCATGCGACCAAGTAAATTCATTCTAGAATTAAGGCCACGAATAATACCGGATAAAACATGCATATTCTGAAAATCTGACATAATCTGACATCTGAAATAATAGTCTGAAATCTGACATCTGAAATACAAGTCTAAGATGTGGAAGCAAGTACAAGTTCAGAAAAGCACACAAGCATAAAACAAACATAGATAATTTAAACATGTTCAAATATTATATGACATGTTTGTGAAGCTGGACCAACACCACATATCTGCTCACGCATCACGCGGGACTCCATCACCTGAAAAATAGGGTAGTGGGGAGGCGTGAGCACAAAGAAATCAACGGTGCTCCGCCGGAACCGGCACTGAATACTCAGCACAATTAATAACAAACTATGAAATCAACATATATATGAGAAAACTGGTCTGACTATGGGACTAACGGTAAACCGATACTCATGTGCACACTCTGGGGGTCCCCTCCCTCAGAAATCCAGGCTGGGCCTCGCCCACTCATATGGACGCTAGACTTAGGCTGGGCCTCGCCCACTCATCTAAGTCATAACTGACATCTAATATCTTGACCAAGACGGGATCACTCATCCGTCTCGGTCCTTCAATTTAATCACATATAGATCTCAAACATGGTAAATTATTAAAAGCGATGAAATAAACAGTACATGGTCTCCACCTGGAAACTGGCGAAAGCGAATGCTGAATATATCTGTAATGGGTAGCTCACGGAGGCTCGACTCTCCTCAAGATACAAAATATATTGAGCGATGTATTCTAAGCACTGAGCTCAGAATAAAACTCAAATCTTTAATATCTTATATATTTAGGTTCGCTCACTCGGCTTTAAAAATCATTTAGGGATTTACGAGCTGATTTTGAAAATATTATCGTCTTTGAGGCATTCTAGAGTTCTCTGAAATATTTTTAAATCTGGGACTAGAATCTGACTTAATCTAATCTGACTGAAATCTAAACTATATCTGAATCTTAAATCTATCTGAAATTCTTAACTTTATCTGAAATCTTAATCTGACTGCATCTAAAATTTATCTGACATTCTATCTGAAATATATTTTCAAACAGTCCGGGCTGACCGGACCGGTTCGACTGAACTGGGCCGACGGCTCACTCGGAGCCGGTCGATCATCTGCTTGACTATGTGCAGCTCAGTTCGACCGTGGTTCGAGTTCGGCGGGGCAACTCGGGCCGGCACAAACTCGACTGACACGGCTTAGCCGATGCACGGGTTTAAAACGGAGCCACAATCACTGACGCATGGGCGTGCTTGGACCACGGCTAACGGAACGGCGCGTAGACGGCAAGTCGGATGGACTCGGTGCACGGGCACGCACTCGGCGGCTCAGCTCCAACGGTCGGACGAGAGGCGATCACGGGCACGAGACGACGGGCACGCATTATAAATTACGATACGATGGTTAAAGATTATCTAGACGGTACTAGGGTTCAGACGATTATAATCGGATCCGGAAAAATACCCGGTTATCGGAACCGGATAAAACTAGGGTTCGATTCTCGAAGAATTTTAACTCATTTAAGGTCGATAATTAATATACAGATTCTATGTGATTTATAATAAAACTATAATCCACAACTGCAGCTAAAACCTCAATCAAACTAATATTATAGTTTTACGGCATTAATATCTAAAGTCCCGATTTTTATAACTAAGTCAAACAACATCCAAAATTTATGAAAATCAAAACATAACATCGTCAATATATGTATGGTCCACGGTCAACAAACCAAGTCTAAAGTCAACTCCTAGACTAGTCAACCAAAAATCGCTACGACCGATCAAATACACATAAAATCGGTTCGCCTATCAAACGAACCCCAAAAATTCTCAAATTTTTACCTAAGCCTCAAGACAATTAATTATGATTTATCAAATTTAAATAATCATGTTGTCACTTATGTTTCAAAAGTCGAACATATTAGCTTTAAGCCCGAAAATCTCGATTTATTCAAAATCGCTCAAATCACCCAATTCATTAATTTTTTTATCATCTCAAATCTTTTATCTAAGCCATTAAAATTGACTTCTAGTTATTATACCTCACAATGCTCGAAAACGAGCGGATCAGGATAGCACAATAGTAGATCGGGCTAGAACAAGGGGACAAGGAGGAAGATGGGTCGGATCTTAGGGCCGTGGGGCTGGGTTCTTGAGTTGTAGGTTGCTGTACGGGACAGTTTTCGCGCGTTGAGCTCGGATCTGAGGAGCTGGTCGCGAGCAGGTGCTGAAATCGCCGGAAAAATGAAGCTGGTGGCGAGCTGCGGGCCTGGTGCGGTGGTGGTCGCGGAGGAGCTATTTTCCAGCGAGAGGAGCTGCGGAACTCGCGATTTCCGGTGGTGCAGAGCTTGGACGCGAGCTAGGTGTTAGAGTAGTATACCCAGAGTTCCAATTTGATTGGACGTATTCTACTTGTAAA